CTAAACAGAGAATATTTAAAAATGCCCTCCTAGGATCGTAGACAATACACATGCTCAATATGCCTTGGGCTGCTGTCATTCTTGTGCCTCGTTTTCTCATTTACGTTTTCAGGCCCTGCTGTGCTGGCCCTTTGACTTACTAGTCTGCATCTCAGCTGAAAGACTTTTCTTCTTTGCTGATGAGTAATCAGAGTGAAGCTTCAGACTTTTAACATCTCAATCTCTTAACAAAAAAAAGTTGTATATACAAGGAACAAAGTCTCCTCCAATATTCATAAGACCTTAGGAAGCCACTAAGAATGGAGATGGGTTACAGGAAGGGGACCAGTAAAAACAAGAAGCCACCAAGACTCTATCTCCTGCAACAAAAAGAGTTGGAGCTCCCATGGGGTATATGCAGTGCTCAGCTATCTTTTTTCTTTAACTTTATACTTACATTCTCTGCCAACATCATCACACTAATAAAGATTATCACAAGACCATGAAATACCTTTCACAAAAGTGGTCACTATCTTCAAACAAAGTGGACAATTCACTTTAGTTCATCCTCCAACAGCAACAACTGGTAAAGATGGGTGTATGTAGGAAGGCTGCACTGCATAAACACCAAAAAAGTTCCAACTATCTTTCAGTGAAGGGAAGAAATATAGTTGATTTCTGAAGCCCTGCCTTGTGGTATTTTATTTTTGGACAGTCCTCCAACATTATGGCTAATGGAAGCCTGTTAAGAACCTAGACAACTATAAAAAGACAGATACGTATTATATTCATGATAGAAAATATTATGTGGGATTTGATGTCAAGCCACACAACTCAACAAACTTCTAACTCAAATTAGAAAGCAATCTACTTTTTCCTAGTTGATGAAAGCCTGAAATGAATGCCCAGAATGAAAGGACAAACTTATTCTTTAAACTGGACTTGGTTATGTGGAAAAAAGGGACGCAAATAGTTTTTATGCAAATAGAATGTGCAACACCCAAAGGCACCACAAGGCAACCCGGTGCTATTAGAGCAGTAGATCTTTCTATCTTTCACATTGTCAGGAAATAACCCACCTGCCCAAACCTTCCGCGTCAAAACCAAGCAGGAGATGCCCTGAGTGAGATGGAAGAAGACACTTTGGTTCTAAGGGATGATCTGAGGCCTTATCAAATTCACCGTCGTTATGCTTCCTAATTCTGTCATACACAATTTATTCAACCAACATGCAGTTATTATCTTCAATGAACCTTTCTTTCCCCTGACCTTTGCCAGAACCTTTCTACCACAGGAATTGGTAGAAAAGTATATAGGGGCATCCTTCCAAAGTGAACAGAAAAGGCACCACTTACACATGCAGGCGTTCAGTAGTATCTTGTCAGGTAAGCAGTGAAAATATCCACCATCCACTGTGCTTTCTTGGAAGAACTGAACTGCCACTCCCAGATCCAGCCACCACTCAAATGAATCCCTTGCAGATCAAATGTGTATGCCCCATCTCATTCACCATTTCACCACGCATGTTTTAATTATCTTCTCGTTCACATTAGGAAGTGGTCCACATGCAGACACGTCAAGCTCTTTATCCAAATGGATCTCTTCAGTACTGCTCAGGATTCCTGGGGCTTCAAACCACAAACTTTCCTTCTCCACCAACTTTTAATAAGGAGAATAGTTAGTCAGTGGCATCCTTAAGGCAGGATGTAGCTTTTCTTGATCACTTCGGGGCAGGATCAATAGACAGAGGAATGTCACACCAGGTCCCCTAATGGGTGCAAGAACACAACTCTGATGTCCAAAAAGTCCTGACCAACTACCGTTCAGTTGTGGCCCTCAAATTCCTAGGGCAATTTAACTGAAGAGTAGTTGGAGCCTGGACAGCTTCTCTAAAAACCTGGGAAGTTGCATAATCTCCCCTGCACAGGAGCCGTCTCCATACTCCATCTCTAGCAGAAAACACTGACCAACAGAAAAGCCTTGGCTTTCCACCAAACCTATACAGTAAGCCTCATCATCCTTAGACTCAGCCTCCCCATGGTCAACTTGCCAAAACCATCAAAGCAACAGTGAGGTATGGACTTTCATAACTACTTGAAGAAGCACTAACACTGGCAGTACCAGCATTATCAGTGCAAAATATGTCAGCTTCCTACTGAAAACACTGACTGAGCTCAACTATTGACTATGGCAATGTTCCTGTGAAAACTAGGCTCACCCCTGCTGATAAAGGAGAAAGGAATATCTCATGGGTGGTACTCTAGAAATCAGGGCAACCTCAAGGACCAAGAGTGATGCAGCCAGTTCACTAGCTATGCTGCTTTACAGAATCACAGGCCCCCTTGCACTTTCAGCCCATAAATGAAGATAAGATCCCAAATCTGTAAAATGTAGCTTCCTTATGCGAAACCTTCACCTGCAGGGGAGCTGTTAGCTTTCTCGCAATGCCCCCCTCTCCCATCTCTTCCATTCATTATCTCATTTAGATTCATACAATTGTAAATAAGAGCCGTCTACTCATAGTTCTAAATACATCCAAGACAAGTTACAAGCTTAATTAATAAATAAATAAATAAATATATAATGGGTTTTTTTTTAAAAAAAAATCAGCACTCTGCTCCCCAACATATTTCCCATAGCCAGGCAGACCTAAGCTTCCCATGAGATGTTGAAAGGCTTCAACACTTCAAAATTTGGCTTTGGTCTCACTTTCACACAAAACCAATTTTTCAAAGTTTCCTGAAAAACAGAAAAGCACTGGGAAATTCTCATTTCAAAAACAAGGTGTTTCCAAAATGATTATTCTCCCCATGCCTGATAAGCAAAACCCCCTGAGATTTTCTCAGTTTCACAAGGAAAAGAAAGTGACACCAACCACTGAACTCACCTCTTGCTTTTCAGTGGTGGACAACAGTGAAACTGAGAAAATTCATTTCTATTTAGTCCATGGTTATGGGGTCTTTAGGACATGCAGCTCTGCAGCAGTCTTGCTATACTGGCTGTCCTGAGGCTTGGGATCCCTGCAGCTGCACACTGCTGGAGCCAATTATGTAACTACACCTGTAGAGCTAATATAATTGTTTCAGATATACAAGACCTCTGAAAATCCAATGACATTAGAAGACTGCACTTCACTCCACTTTGCAACAGTTCTGCAAATTCAGACCTAACATTTCTAGGAAAAAAAGTACATTTTGGAACATCCAGAATCATGCCATTTCACAAATGTACTATACCAGGACACTCAGGGGCTTCTTAAGTATGAAAAAAATCGCCCTGTACTGTCCTAATTCCCCATATGATCAGAAAGAGCTTTTGGGTGCCTTCTCAACACTAGGCTGTGCACTGAGAGATGAAGTTAGCTCCAATTAAATGAAGGTAACTGTACTGTTTGAGAGGTAAGGATAGATCACAGCCTAGTGCAGGTCCAGCGGAACTGGTCTGAAGATTTTACACAGTCAGTCAGCACAATGGGTTCATACATGGGAACAGATCAGACACAAGCGGCAAGATAAAAGTGTCGCCACAGCATGTGCTAGCATACCTGGGCTAGATGAAGTGAAGCAGCACCAGTATACACAGCATTAAAGATACAGCAGCAAGTTCCAGCAACCAGGGCACATCCCGAAGAGCATGCACATTTGTTTCCCGCAGGACAAACAGGGGCATATGATTCTCACAGGACAAACATCAGTGATGCATATTTCTGCTGCTGCTGTTTGCTCCTGGGCATGCCCCTGCACATGGCAAATTGACCTGGGTGAAATACAGGAGGCTGGGGCCAACACCTGTGCTGGCCCCAGCAGCCTTACGTGGGGCAGCAGCATCAGGGACGCTCCCTTCCTGGCAGTGCATGCTGCTGCCATGTACACCATGCTACTTTTTAGAAGCATTTTTTTTTTTTTGATACCGGGATCACCTGCTGTCAAAAAGAACCGCCACGCTGCAAATTAGCAGCAGAGTGAATGAGTGCACGTGCAGGCTGAGGTGCTACAAACCGCATATGCACGCTCATCAGGAAGTGCCCCTAGAGTGCAAACTCTGCAGGTATCCTGCACATGTCCTTCTGTTCGCTAGCACAGGCCAAAGCCCTGCCACCGTATCTCCACAGCCACGGCTGTCAGCGCTTCTTAGAGGAAATGCAGACATGCTGCCTGCTATCCACCCTCCGCCTGGACAAGTTCCTCCCCAGGTTCCTCTGCAGACTTAGCCAGTGTCACCTGTACCGGATCTGGGGCAGGGGTGGAAAGAGAGGAGCTTTGCAGAACAGAGGGACCAACAACCCCTGGACATACGATGAAAGCCGAGCACGGCATCTTTCAGGCTGACAACTTTGGAGATCTTGAAGAGGAGACTGGACAAGCACCTAGCTGGGGTCATCTAACCCCAGTGCTCTTTCCTGCTGAGGGCAGGGGGTTGGGATCTACTAAGGGTTCTAAGGTCAGGATCTACTGAGGGATCTAGTAAGGTCCCTTCTGACTCTAAGCATCTATGACATCGCTTGACCGTAACTGAGCAACTCGCTAGTAAGAAGTTGTGCCCGGTGCCCTACAGTGGTGTCTGAGAGAAGCCTCCTTGGCAGGAGTGTGGAGGGGTCCCTGCTGCAGCCAACCCCCTGCCACACGTTACATTCATTGCACCAGGTACGTGCAAAGCGTGTAATCAATGCTCGTGGGCGCATGCGCACACACGTGCGCATGTACACGTGCACACGCACACACCATCAAGCACACACATGTGGATGTACGTGTGCAGATGCCAAACACACATGTGCTCGCACCAAACACACGTGTACAGGTAAGTGTGCAGACACCGTCAAATGCACACAAATGCATATACACGTACAAACGTGTTCACACCATCAAACGCACGTGTGCAGGTATGTGTGCACACACGGGCTCGCATGTGCTCACACCAAACACGCACGTGTGCAGGTACGTGCGTACACACGCACTCACACCATTCAAGCGAGTGCCCAGGCTCGCTCCGGCCACACGCGCGCGCCCCACCCCCGCGCTCACCGTCGAGGGACACGAACTGCCCCACGGCCGAGGCGCCGCCACCGCCGGTCTCCACGAACTGGACCTCGGAGACGATGATGTTGTCCTCGAGCACGGAGCCGCAGCCGGTGCACACGGCGTCGCCCCGCGCCGCGTCCACCTCAATGTCGGCGCTGCCGCACGCCGCGCACACCCGCCCGCCCGGCATTCTGCTGCTGCTGCTGCTGCTGCCGCCGCCGCCTGGG